GATAGATAGATAGATAGATAGATAGATAGATAGATAGATAGATAGATAGATAGATAGATAGATAGATAGATAGATAGATAGATAGATAGATAGATAGATAGATAGATAGATAGATAGATAGATAGATAGATAGATAGATAGATAGATAGATAGATAGAAGGATGGATGGAAAGAATGAAAGAACGATAGACAGACAGACAGACGATAGATAGATAGATAGATAGATAGATAGATAGATAGATAGATAGATAGATAGATAGATAGATAGATAGATAGATAGATAGATAGATAGATAGATAGATAGGTAGGTAGGTAGGTAGGTAGGTAGGTAGGTAGGTAGGTAGGTAGGTAGGTAGGTAGGTAGGTAGATAGATAGATAGATAGATAGATAGATAGATAGATAGATAGATAGATAGATAGATAGATAGATAGATAGATAGATAGATAGATAGATAGATAGATAGATAGATAGATAGATAGATAGATAGATAGATAGATAGATAGATAGATAGATAGATAGATAGATAGATAGATATCAATAGAATGTTAGAGAGAATGATGGACATTCAGGCGGACAGACAGACGGGAGGATAGACAGATTAATAGAATGATAGACAGACAAAATGATCGAACAATAAACAGATAGGTAGATCAATATAACAATAGACAGAACGATAGATCAATAGAATGATAAATTGATATACCAATAGACAGATAAATAGATCAATAGAAAGATTAATAGATCAACAGACAGACTGCTAGCTAGACAGACAGACAGACAGACAGACAGACAGACAGATAGATAGATAGATAGATAGATAGATAGATAGATAGATAGATAGATAGATAGATAGATAGATAGATAGATAGATAGATAGATAGATAGATAGATAGATAGATAGATAGATAGATAGATAGATAGATAGATAGATAGATAGATAGAACGAAGGATGGATGGATGGAAAGAATGAAAGAACGATAGACAGACAGACGATAGATAGATAGATAGATAGATAGATAGATAGATAGATAGATAGATAGATAGATAGATAGATAGATAGATAGATAGATAGATAGATAGATAGATAGATAGATAGATAGATAGATAGATAGATAGATAGATAGATAGATAGATAGATAGATAGATAGATAGATAGATAGATAGATAGATAGATTAACAGGCAGACAGATGGAAAAACAGACAGATAGACAGACAAACAGACAGACAGAATATTCTGGATGATCCGAGTGCTTCTCAAGTCTGTATTTGTGTAGCCAGTTTGGCAAGATCTTGTGGAGCCAAAAGCTAAAGTCTGTTTTGACACAGAAAGACATTCTGAAAGACATTCCTAAATCCACACCCAGCAGACATAACAGCACACAACCCTGTGCCTAAAACCAACACTACTGTTCCTGACGGTGATCTGCTTCTCTTCAGCTAATCTCTGTCTGCCGTACTGAATCCGGCTTTCACTTCCCATATCATACAGTCTGCTGGACCCACACACACACACAAACACACACATATATAGTCACCTCAACTATAGACAGGCTGTATGAGGGAACGTCCACAAAAAAATAGAAATCTGTCATTTTACCCTTATACATTTATTCCTTTTGTGGAGAACCCAAAAATGTACAGAAAAAAATAGATGATTATATTTCTACAGCCTGACTTGTCATGCTGGTGTGTTTCTAAAGCTGTTTCTGAATGTGGCCTCACTTTTACATACACATTTATCATTTTACACCAGAACTAAATCATGAAACTCATATTACTATAATGCTTAATTTCTAATTAAATGTGTCTGAATTCCATTCTAGCATTTATTTAATTTCTTTTACATTTTTTTACATAAAAATACATAATATACATTTATTAGAAACATTTTTATAAATATTATAATTACATTTAATTTGACTTTAATTATGAACTCTTAGAGTGAGTGCTCTGGCCATTCTGGTATAAAATAATTCTAGTGATAAATGCATTTATCACTTTATTCATCAGGGGGCACCACAGCGGAATGAACTTATGCAGCAGATGTTTTACACTGCGGATGCCATTCCAACTGCAACCCAGTACTGGGAAACACCCATACACTCTCAATCTCTCACACACACACACACACACACACACTACAGCCAATTTAGTTTATTCAATTCACCTATAGTACATGTCTTTGGATTGTGGGGGAAACCGGAGCACCCGGAGGAAACCCACGAAAACGAACATGCAAACTCCACACAGAAATGCCAACTGATCCAGTCAGGACTCAAACCAGCGACCTTCTTGCTGTGAGGTGACAGTTTTATATATTAAAATGATCAATTATAATTCACAAATTGGCTGTTTTGAAAAGACAGGAGTCAAATATTAAAGGACAACATCATTTGTAGGTGAACTGTCCTTAAGCCTTTAAATCGGTATGTCAGCAGTGTGCTCTTTGATGCCACCTCTCATCTCCTTCATTGTGTTTTCTGATACCACTCCAGATTCTATCGTCAGCGTGAGGAGTGACATAACAGCTGAGGATACTGTGAAACCTAAACTCCAACAGAGCCACTCTGTCAGGCAAAAAGTGTTGTTTTTTTTTAATGTTTTTTGAATGAGTGTGTATGGATGTTTCCCAGTGATGGGTTGCAGCTTAAAGGGCACCCGCTGGTAAAACATACAGTATGCTGCTGAATGAAGATTAATAAAGGGACTAAGCCTAAAAGAAAATGAATGAATGAATGAATGAATGAATGAATGAATGAATGAATGAACGAATGAACAGTGTATGAGTGCATATGTGAATGCAAGAGTATATGGGTATTTCCCAGTACTGGGTTGCAGCTGGAAGGCATCTGCTATGTAAAATATATTCCGGAATGTTTTTCGGTTTATTAATATAATAATCAGCGGCTAAGTTGAAGCAAAATGAATGAAAGAATGAATGGATGAATATTACTACTAGCATTTAAAGCGAACGTGAATCTGAGAGGTGAAAAGGGCTATCGGTCATCCCCAGTGTTGTTCGGCTTTTTCGAGACAGAGGGATTTGAGGCGACTTTGCAAATGTAAACTCTTCAAGCCCTGCTGAGTCCACATAATGACAGGCACAAAAAATAAACCAACGCTCACGGGCCACAGTCAAACACTGCAGTACTTTCTGAGAAACAATTTGAGAGCAAATCTAGCTTCTCTACAACAACATGAAATGAATTCAGGATAATTTGGTATAGTGGTAGAAGGTCTAAATGAGTTGCTTATAGATATAAATACAGATTATGGCCACAGACAGAGAGGCTTTCGGTGAATATAGCACATCGGTAATGTGAATGTGAAGTTTGGATGTTTTGAGAGAGAGAAGACACCCTGGCATTGTGACACAGAAGAATGTGTCAATAAAATTCTTACATCACTTCGCCAAAACCAAACAAAGTCCCTCACACAATTTCCTAACAATGTCCCTTTTGGTTATTAAAATGCATTCTTTTATTTAAAGGAACAGTACAGTCCTAAAGGGATAGTTCAGCCAAAAATGAAAATGTACTCATAATCTACTCTCCTAAAAAGGTTTTAAACCTTTATAAGTTTCTTTTTTGTGTTAAACACATTAAAAGATATTTCGATGAAAGCCCAACACCTGTAACCACTGATTTCTAAAGTAGGAAATACAAATTCTATGGAAGTCAATGGTTACCGGTTTCCAGCTTTCAGCAAAACTTTATGTGCTTTTTTCTTCTGTTAAAGGCTAAAGGCTTGAAACAAGTAGACAGACAGAGTAAAGGATTGTACAAATTTTCTTTTTGTTTTGGGTGAACTCTGATACTTAATACTTGACCCTAACCCTAACCCTAACTCTGATCTCTTGAATGATTCAGAAACTTACTCCCAATGTAAACATAATCACACAAAAGAATAAGACCTTTCCAAAAAGTGTATGGTGCCACAGTAATGTGCCTTTTTCTGCAATTCTTTATTATTTTATATGTGCACAATAGATCAAATTTAAAACAATATTGCTATATGGGATAATCTATGCTCAAACAGGTGAAAACAGAAATACATTTATGTTATTGTAAGTCGCTTTGGATAAAATCGTCTGCTAAATGACTAAATGTAAATGTAAATGTATATTTTATTTTAAAGTAACACTGTATTATTAGATTTGTTTTTGTAAATATATAAATATACTTCTTAATATTCAAATTGAAATCATAATTATATTATTTCATTGTTATGCAGAATATAGGTCAAAATATTTTGAAGTTTTAAAAGTATTCCATACATTTCAGCATGGAATAAAAATGAAATAAAAAAGGTTTATAACCTCTTAGGTTTATAACCCCTTATAACCTTATTCCTGTATTTCTTATAATTCTCTCAGTTCATTTTTCCCTCATAATTTTGGGTTTATATCTCATGTTTATGATTTTTTTGCATTTCTCAAACTTTTGACTTCATTTCTTGCCCTTGTAAACTTATAACTTAAATGTAAATAAATAATGTGTATGTGTATATATGTGTTTCATCAAGTTTAGTAGTGGTTGTAGTAGTAAACTTAATTGTTACGGTACATCTTGTCATTCTTGGTGTCATTAACATATATAAGATTATTAAATAATATAAGTTTATAATTTTGTGTTCAACATGTGAAACAAAGTAACTTTTTTAACTTTATGGTTTAAGTTTGTTCTTTTAAAAGTTCTACCATAAATGACCTACAGTAAAAAAAAAAAAAAAAAACAATAATAAAATTAAAAAATCCTACAAATCACCTTCAATCCCTCTAGAATTCCTCTTTCTCTCCTAATAGAGCAATTCAAGCCTGGCGACAATTTCAGAAAGTTTTTTTCAAGCAAAATATTGTCTGTTTTTTTTTTTCAATATTGTGCAACCCTAGGGAGTACTTTATGTAATATTAAACACCACACAATTCTACAACATTGTAAAATTCGACAGAACATCAGTATTTCTTTGCCGTTCATTAACCCTAGACTATTTGTCTGACCTGCAGAAGTTGTGTTGCCCAAGCCCTCCTTCTCCATTGGGGTATTTGTTGGTGTTATATGGACGTTCGAATGTTTCATTCCAGAAAAGGCACGGCCTTCCTCCTTGCAGACTGGTCTGATTCTGTCGACCTCTGTAGTCCTCACCATTCGCTGTATAACACTCTAAAAGACAAAAACAAAACGTCCTTTACTACAAATGTTGATGATGAGCAACACGTGTTATGCAGTACATTGTTGAAAATTCAAGAGTTCACACTTATAGCTGATCATTAATTAAAGCGCGTTTGGCAAGCTGCCCCAGGAGGGAGCCCTAAGCTCATAAGATCCTCGAGCCAGGGGTTCCCTCCCATTTGCAAGACAAGAGGGGGGTTTGAGCTCAGGTAGGTTTCGTCGAAACGTCGACTGGCCTGTTAAAGATTTGGCCCAGTGACATTCTTGCTGTGAGGTAACAGTGCTAACCACTGGCCGCCGCCGTGCCACCCTATCAAGCAAAATGGAGGAGTAGTAGGTGTGGAAGAGGGATTCTCCAAGACGAAGATAACTGAGGTAAGAAAACTTATTAATAGTGAGTTAGGAATCATCTGATTGATGAATCATGCGTTAGCTAGTGCAGGACCAGCCGTGGTCAATCATAAGCATGTGATCCCTTAAAAATTAGTTTATAAATAAACTTTACATAATACAATCAGATTCAGAAACTACATTATTGATGACTGATTTGTTTATTGCCTTTTTCATATGCTGCATGATGATTTGCAAATTAACTTCTATTAAACACTAAACAATCAGTGAAAGGATTTTAAAATAATTGGATACAAAAAATGTCTTATTATTCTCTTCACAGTTCAATTATCAGATGTTCAAAAGAAACCTGTTAGAATTAACAAATAACTTTCAGTGACTATGAAAATTCCAAAACACCTATAAACATGTGAAATGCTACAGAAACACTTTGTAATTAAAAACTCAAAACATAAATTCACATTGAAAGTATATGTTAACATTATATTGAAAAATCTGTTTATATTTTTTCAGAACAACTGATCACATAATTAAGGGATCAGAGAAATATCAATCTGTCACCTTGTTTTGTACTATAAACGAGGAAAATAAACATGCGTTATGGATGTGACCAAAAAAGTTTGCGAGTTTGCAGAACACAGAAATTCTGTAAATTAAACTGCACAACCCAAAAGAAACAATGATAATCAAATTGATAAACGTTATGGATGTGACAGTTGTGATATTGCCACTTGTGTGACTTTGGTAAGTCAAATATAATAGTTTGAAAACACTGACGGATACATTTTTGAGTACTGTAAAATACATGCTTACACAAAAAAACTTAGAAACAGTTTCTGTATTTTGGCGAAAACTTTTTCATGGCAAGGTTGACATTTGCATGTAATTTCTCATTAGTTAATGTATTTACTAACATGAACGAACATTAAACAATACATTTATTACAGTATTATGTTAGTTAACGATAGTTTATGAAAATACAGTTGTTGACATGTTAACCCATGGAGAATTAGGTAATATTAACAAGCATAAATTTGGATTTTAATTGTTCATACTCAGTTCATGTTAGTAAATACAATAACTAATGAAACATTTAAAAGTGTGACCAATATTACTTTACACCCTCAAAAATAAAGGTATGCGAGCTGTCACTGGGGTGGTACCTTTTCAAAAAGTATTTGTACCTTAAAGGTCGATATTATTACCTCATGGGTACATACATAAAAAGTACAAAAGTGTTCCTCTTAACATTTTTAGGTACTAATATAGAATTTTGAGGTACCAATATCAACCCCTCAAGTACAAATGTGTACCTTTTAAAAAGATACCACCACAGTGACTGCACACATACCTTTTATTTCTGAAGGTGTACAGTACTGCACAGAATATAAAGAAAAAATCTTCTGGAAAAAAAGAAGAAAGTGAACACAAAAGATCTCCTGCCTGATAAAAGGCTGATAAAAATGTCATGTTAAAATACCAAGCATAGCATTATTTTCATGACAACTAAAAATAAAGCACAGAGAAAATCATATCTCGCATACAGTTTTCACTGGGGGTCCTCTACATCACAACATTCCCATTTAAAATCATTTATTTTAGTTATTTTGAATAGAAGTTCCCCAAACCGGAACTGCAAGCCATAATTTAAAACGTATCAACCATGTTCTGAAAACGGTGGAGAGCAACAATGGATTTAGAAACCACAGAAAAAGAACATGGAGGGCCACACTGAAACTGTTTTAAGCAGATGTTATTGCATCTGTTAGCATGTAAGTCTGCTGTCCTAGAATGAGTCATAGCACTGCGGGAAAGGGGAGGGGGTGAATATTTATAACCGAAGAAATAAATCAATTGTCATTCAGGTTTATGATTGCATTCATGCAGGATGACCCATCTGCAAACTAATTCCGTATGAGAGAGCGACTGTCAGGTGAAATGATAATTCTGTCACTCGCTCTTCTCTAAAACCGAAACTGCAAAAAGAAATTAAAACTTTGAAAGGCAACCATTTGGATGTTAATAAAAATACGCTCTTTCTCTACCAAAAACAACAAAGACGTAGGACTTATGCACAGTCAAAATAAACAAGAGGGTAACTATTTCATCAAAGGGTATCTGTTGGTATTTCTAAGCTCTAGACTTCAAAGCGCCTCATTTGGACCGAGTTCTGGTTTGAATGAGGAAGCTGGTATGTGGCGAGAGCGTGGATTTAAACCCTGGCTTTCATATGTGAGGTACCTCAAGTCTGATAACATCTCCATTCTCCTCATCTGCTCTCCAAGATCTTCAAAAGGCAGCAAAATGAAAATGTGCAAATGTACTGTAGCATTCCACACACTACTGATCAAACATTTGGAATAATTATGATTAGTTTAATAATTGAGATCTTTTCCTCACTCATGAAGGCAGCATTTTTTTGATCAGTATTATTGTAAAATATTTTTTCAATTGACTTTTTTGTTTGTTTGAACATCTTTTAAAATGCAATTTATTCCTGTGATAGATTATTTCAGTCGTCAGTGGCTGATTTGGTGCACAGGGGAAATTTCTGATTATTGTCAATGTTGAAAATAGTTTTTGCTATTGTATCCATGGAAACTGTCTGTGACACTGCTGATCAAAAGTTTGGGTAGGTGGGCAAGCAAGAACAAAAAAAAAAGAAGAAGAAAAAGATATTATTATGCAAATAGATTGCCAGTATATGAATAATGTTACAAACGGTCCCCACTAATAAAATGCTGTTCTTTTGGTTGCTCAATTTGATTGCTCAAAACACTGAAAAATATTATCACATTTTAAACAAAACAATCTTTAATAACTGAGCACCAATAATGGATGTAAAAAAAGAGCACAAAATCAGCATATTTAAAAGATTTCTGGAGTTACGGCTATTGAAATATTTGCTTTCCTGTCACAATAATCTAATTAATAAATGACATTTAAAAACAACATTCAAATATATATACTGTATATACATTCACCAGACACTTTATTAGGTACACTTGTCCAACTGCTCGTTAACATAAATTTCTAATCAGTCAATCACTTGGCAGCAATTCAATGCATTTAGGCATGTAGACATGGTCATCTGCTGCAGTTTAAACCGAGCATCAGAATGGGAAAGAAAGGTGATTTACGGGACTTTGAACGTGGCATGGTTGTTGGTGCAAGACGGGCTGGTCTGGGTATTTTAAAAACTGCTGATCTATTGGGGTTTTGACTCACAACCATCTCCAGGGTTTACAGAGAATGGTCCAAAAAATAGAAAATATCCAGTGAGCGGCAGTTCTGTGAACGCAAATGCCTTGTTGATGCCAGAGGTCAGAATAACCAGATTGGTTCTAGCTGATAGAAAGACAACAGTAACTCAAATAAGCACACACATCAAACCTTGAGGCAGATGGGCTACAGCAGCAGAAGACCACACCAGCTGCCACTCCTGTCAGCTAAGAACAGGAAACGGAGACTGCAATTCACACAGGCTCACCAATATTGGACAATAGAAGATTGGAAAAACATTGATGAGTCTCGATTTCTGCTGTGACATTCGGATGGTAGGGTCAGAATTTGGCTTCAACAATATGAAACCATGGATCTGTCCTGCAATGCATCAACAGTATAGGTTGGGGGTAATGGTGTAATGATGTGGGAATTATTTTTTAGGCACATTTTGGGCCCTTTAGTACCATTTGAGCATCGTGTCAATTTCATAGCCTACCTGAGTATTGTTGCTGACCATGTTCATCCCTTTATGACCTCAGTGCCATCTTCTGATGGCTGTTTCCAGCATGTCATAAAGTGCGAATCACCTAAGACTGGATTCTTGAACATGACAATAAGTTTACTGTACTCAAATGGCCTCCACAGTCCCCAGATCTCTATCCAATAGAGCACTTTTGGGATGTGGTGGAACGGGAGATTCGCATCTTGGATGTGCAGGCAATAAATCTGCAGCAACTGCGTGATGATATCATGTCAATAAGAACCAAAACCTCTGAGAAATATTTCCAGTACCTTTTTGAATCTATGCCATGAAGGTTTAAGGCAGTTCTGACGGCAAAAGGGGGTCCAACCCGGTACTAGTAAGGTGTACCTAATAAAGTGGCTGGTGAGTTTTATATATATTATAGGTGTTTGTCTACTGTATTTTTGATCAATTAATCGCAGCCTTGAAAAGCCTATTTCAAAAATCTTAAACATGTTTTTGTAAGTACTGTACTAGCATTAATAATATGAAATAATGCTATATAGCTATTCTGTCCTGGTTGGCAGCTTAGATCAAAATTGCAGGTCAGATCAAAATAGTCCAAAATCTAGTCCCTTAATGTACTATGTTTTTATCCATAAGTCTCGCACATACTTTACAAAAGAGTGAAGTGTTGGAGATGTTTTTCATATTAAAGTACTGGGAAAACTCAGAGATAATTAGCCTCAGTTTTCCAATCAGCATCGTCTGGATGTTCTACTGATGTGGGTCGAGCCTTTCCTTCAGGGGATGAGAAGGGAATCATGCAGCCAATCCAACCACACAACCTCCCTGAACAAATTTCCTGCGTTAATCAAACGCAATTAACATACCTCAGGCAGGGCCGCCTCATACTATATGAGCATTCACTGATAATCATTTTGATTTGTGT